CAGTGGTACCTCGGGTTACATACGCTTCAGGTTACAGACTCCGCTAACCCAGAAATATTACCTCGGGTTAAGAACTTTGCTTCAGGATGAGAACAGAAATTGTGCTCCGGCGGCGCAGCAGCAGCAGGAGGCCCCATTAGCTAAAGTGGTGCTTCAGGTTAAGAACAGTTTCAGGTTAAGAACAGACCTCCAGAATGAATTAAGTACTTAACCCGAGGTACCACTGTATTGTTTATCCTGTAATGAACTACAGAAATCTTTCCCAGCCCTACCTGAAGATGCCAAGCATTGAACCTGGGAGCAGTAACACACAAAGCATAAAGGAGACTTGATCAGTCAAAGCAAGTCCTCCACCTCTGAGCCACAGCTCTCTCTCTTAGATATGGCCCTTTCCTCAGAAGGGTACTCCATACTTCTGATATGATAGCGCATTTTCCATTTCTTTGCTGCTATATTTATGCTGGAAACACACATCAAATCAATGCTTCTTTGATGCAGCGGAGCATCTGCACTCATGGCTCATTAAACAATTTCCCCCTCTCTGGGCTTATGAAGCTGCATTGCAGTTACTCTCCTCGTGGGTCTCCACTTTTCTTCCACCGGCAATTGGGTTTGTCACATACTAAAGCAGAGGAAGGGACAATGCACTGCAAAGATGTGTTATTGTTTTATATACATCTTGTTCTGTGGAATGCTTTTCCAGGGGAATCCAGCCGGTGCTTTCTGTTTTAATCCTTCAGGGCCATCTGAAAACATTTCTGTGCTGCCAAGCTTATGCAGGCAATTAGGAAAACTTCTTTCTGTAGCGGTTCATAGACGATCTCTTAAATTTTCACCTGGATTCTATTGTGCATTTCTATTCTATTCTATTCTTTTCTATTCTTTTCTATTCTTTTCTATTCTATTCTATTCTATTCTATTCTGTAGTTGATGTAAAGCGCTTTGATTTTTTTATGATATAGTGGCATCTAAATACTTTGGTAACTAAATAGGTGCAAGCAAAGTAAAAGCAGGGCTCAGCTACCTGTGGGAACAGAAAATGTCTGTCTTGATATCCACTTCTAATATGTTAAGCAAGACATTAAACCACCTGTTTTGCATTGGCTGTAGAAAAGAAGCATGTAGGATACAATATAGCTCTAAGGTGCAAAAACAGGAGTACTTTATGGGAGCAACAAAACGTTATCTGTCCAAAGATGAAGATGAAAAAGAGGTTTTGCCCCCGGCCCCACAAAATAGGTGTCCTCATATGGTTTGGGTAATTTGTTTTAAGTATAGAAACTGAGAGTGTTCTATAGGTTCCCCATCCCCGGTTTAGCCTTTCATACGGAACCCTGTTAAATTTCAAGGGCTCTTTCTACATAAGGAAGTAAAGCACTACTGTTATAAGTCAACACCCAACACAATCTCCTGCTTGGTATTCGAATTCAACTATTACATTCCATCATAGGCTTCTCTGGTCCACGCACCGTGCAACGGTGGTGAATGCCAGTAAGATGTCTATGCAGGCCATAATGCGTTTTTTCATAACAAGAGGTAATTTGCATATCCCTTCTGCCCTTAGGGTCTTCAATGCCAAAATTATAGCTCAGTTGCTCTGTGGTATTCCAGTCTGGCTGCCAGGGTTTACCCAGTTGGTAGAATGAGTGAAGCTTTCCTCTTCAAGATTTTTACTGTCCCACGCTGTGTACCCTATGCAGCCTTGTGTCTAGAGGGAGGTCAACACAAGGTAGAGACTGTCACCTGGGCGAGATTTCTTCTATGCTGGTTAAACATCTGCCTTACATCAGATAAAGATCCTCTCCTCAGTGAAGTTTTGTTAGACCCCTTTCTTTCCCCAGGGCTACAACAGTTTAACAAGAAGGTACAGCAACTCAGGCTGTCAGTGGAACTTTTGCAATCGATGTCTCTACCATCTGCCAAGGCTATAATAAAAACTAGGTTGTGGGATATTGAACGCCAAGAACTAACAGTCGCAGCAGAGAAAACATGTTCCCCTCTTTATTTGCAACTGTCTTGGGCACATGAAACTAACCACAATTACCTTGAATTTCTGCTTAACGCTCAAGAAAGAAGGGCATTTTCGCTGGCCAGGTTTCATTCAAATCCATCAAACCTCCTTTGGGGAAGGTTCTCAGGCAAGGTGGAAGGAGAAAGAACTTGCCCATGTGAAGACCACCTGGTGGAAACCCTTACACATAAGGTTCTTAATTGTAAACTATATGCTGATCTCCGCCAGCAATTTCTAGATCAACTCTGTATCCCCAAATGGAAACCAGAGTTGGAGGTCATACATTTTCTATTACTGGGGAATGATCAGGAGCTCACCAAGTTAGTGGCTATATATCCTTATTTAGTGTTTTGTCATCGAAATACACTGCAGATATCTGATCTCCCTGGAGGCCAAGAGATGCGACGATAGACTGCTCTGCCTCCTTTCTTTTGGCAAATGTTTTGTGCCACTGGGGACAAAACCACATTGATTTTTTTTGGATGTTTGTATGTGATGCCAATAAAAGGTTTGATGATAATAAATCTCCTGCTTACTTGTAACCCTAGTGAACTTTGGGACAATAGTGCAGGATCTTCATTTACAGCAAAATTAAAATTCGTTGGTATGAAAGATAAGAATGAACAAACCATTTTTTAAAGGACTGGAATTGCTGCTGACATTTCAGCTAAGCCACGGTGTGCTCTTTTGCTGCTGTCAATCAGGTGTATAACTGTGACCTCCTCATCCATGTTATCCAGTGAAACAGTAAACAACAAACAACATTTGGGGGGGGGAGATTTTCTGACTGCTGCATTTACCTGAGCAAGGCAGCACAAATGAGCAAATCTTTACAAAAGATTGTCAAGAGCTGCTGGGGCTTGAACTGGAAGGCTTTTGAGTTTGTGTGCAGCTACCCTGTGTACCTGGTGAGCAACTAAATTGCATGTTGCAATATTTGCACAAGCAGTTCAGTAGCCTTAGGATGTGACTTGGCTCTGTCCATCTAGGCTGGCTATTGAATTCTCTGGGACAGAAAGGACTTTCAGAGGGCTTCCTCTTCCAGTGAAGTCTTGTTTGAATAACAAGAACTTTCCATTCCTGTATCTGTTGGTTGGACTTCAGTTCTGGGTTGATCCTTCCTCTTCTGTCCTAACTTCTGCCTTGTGCCACCCACATAACCTGGTTCACCCTGGTCTGCTGTACCTTGCCCATTGGTGACAAGGATCAAGCACCCATGATTTCCCAGAAATAAATGTAATTTCAACTTCCTGTCCAGTTTCAGGAAAATGCATTGCACATGTGTTTTATTAGTATCCCATTCTGTTTTATATTATGATAAGTGATTATTAGGCATAACATTTAATGCACTGCTTATAAAGTTTTTATTAAGCAAGGATGGAGGAATAGGAATTACTATACAATGGTACCTCGGGTTAAGTACTTAATTTGTTCTGGAGGTTCGTTCTTAACCTGAAACTGTTCTTAACCTGAAGCACCACTTTAGCTAATGGGGCCTCCTGCTGCCGCCGCACTGCTGGAGCATGATTTCTGTTCTCATCCTGAAGCAAAGTTCTTAACCCGAGGTATTATTTCTGGGTTAACCCGAGGTATTATTTCTGGGTCTGTAACCTGAAGAGTATGTAACCTGAAGCGTATGTAACCCGAGGTATCACTGTATTGTTGAAAGCAGTCATTTGTAATGGGAATCTGATAAGATAAAAGCAACATGCAGGCTGATGGAGCAACTCTTCCGTGTCAGCACCACAAGCAGGCATACAGCAGGACAGCCCCAAAGCTGCCCCACTGAGGTCCCCAGTGATGCCATACCCATACAATCTCCCAAGATGTTCAGTTGCTCTGCTGCAGTTCAGATGTTCAGTTGCTCTGTTTCCACACAGATTTGGAAGAAAAAGGAAGGCTTTGTGTGTGAGAGAGGTTTCAGATTCAGAGGGATGCTGATTTAACCCAACCCCCAGATCCTTCAGAATATGAAAGTTCACATGAATTTGAAATATTATAATATGAGGCCGATCCCTATGGGGAGGAATAAGAGTCAGCGTAGGGGACAAGGCTATCAGTGGTTGTGTGTGAGAGAGGTGCCATGATAGCTATGTTGTACCTAGTGTTGGAGGCAGTATGCATATGAATGCTTATGAGAATCAACAAGTGGGGAATGTTTCTGGTGGTGGTGTTAATTATCATTAAGGATCGGGCAGGAGTATAGTAAAACAAAGAACTATAATCCAACAAGCTTTCTTTAACTCCTAACTCTCTCTGACTGTCCTGGTCACTAGCTCCTGATTCAATCAGTGCTGAAATACTTCAGGGGCTGGGCTGAAGCCAACGTTATGTGCCAACACAAGTTGCAAAAGCAGTCAGATAACTTGACTCTGAGTCAATTTGCATGTGCCAGAATCCTTTTTTTTTATTATTTTTACGGGAAACCATGAGAGAACATTGGCTCAGAATAAGTTACATCATCAATGGTTGGTAGTGGGTAATGACTGTGTTATAGTGCTCTGTTCAAAGGTTAGGGTTGATACAAATGACCAGCTTGCCACACGCTGTCCATATGCTGTCCGTATCCTGGGCATTTTTCTTTTCTCCTTACATGCTGTTTCCCACAATACAGGTGTTGTAGACTGGTAGCTCCTTCATTAGGTTGCACTTCCTGTTTATTGCAATGTCCTGACTGTTGAACAGCATGCACCTGTGTCTCTTGTGTTGCTTAGGCCAACAGAATTGCATACTTCTTGCCATGGGCACAGCCAGGATTTTTGTTGGGGAGGGGGGAGGCCTTTTGTTAGGGGGGCAGAACTCAGTTTGCTATGTATTTTTATTGATGGGGGAGCAGCTGTCCCTCCCTGCCCCCCCCCCTAGCTACGTCCATGCTTCTTGCCCTTTGTCTCCAATAAGGTAATAGAACAACTTTACTTCGTTTCTCCTCCTCTCCCTCCCTTTAAGCGGGAAGCGGCGTCGCGCCGAGTTTGCTTTCGACGCCCTGGGCAAACAACGTCGGGGACACTGGCACAGAAGACCTCCAATTCCGGGACTGGATGGAGTCGCAGAGGGTCCCGCCCCATCGTGCGCCCTTCAAAGTCTGTAGGGTTGGCATGATGGAGGGGGGGTCTGGGGGCGGGCCTGCTGGATTCCATTAAAAGCCCCTCGCTCTCCCCCGCTGCACACCCAGCAGTGTGCGCGCCTCTCTCCCTCCGAACGCCCCAGATCTTGCTGCTCGTCATGCCGAGGCGTCTCCCCCGAGTCGGGCCAGGGCCGCCTGCTTGCCTGGTCCTCCTGGCCGCCACCTGCCTCTTCTCCCCGCCGTCGCAGGCCTGCGGCGTCTCTCGCTACGGGCCCCACGACCCCTTGGTGGAGCTGCAGCCGGACACGCTGCAAAGCCTCTTCTTTTCTCGCAGCGCCTGGGTTGTCCAGTTTTACGCGCGCTGGTCCGCTGCCTCCGCCGCCTTCGCCCCCACGTGGCGAGCGCTCGCCCAGGATATTAAGGGTAGGACAAGCCGGGTTAATTGTGCTGCCGGGACACCTGTCTCTCACACACACCCTTCACCGTCAGATTTGGCGTTGGTGGCTGGGGAATGTGACGGAAGGACCCTCTGTGCATGTTCAGAGATTTTCTTGCTCTTGAACAGTCGCATTGCGCGAGGCTGCCCCTCCAACTTATTTAGAGAAAGCCCATGCTCAGAGAGAGCGGCTACTGCTGCATCTTAAGGGACAGCAGCCCGTGCATTCCCCCTTCTCTCCTCAACCCTCGAGACACCAGCCAGCTCTCTGCCTTTAGTTTAAGCTCCCTGACGCTCCCATGGTATTTCCCGCTTGAACCACCCTTTCTCTTTCTTCTTCCATTTGAGTAGGTGGTCTCTGAATGCCAGCAGACAGTGGCCATGCCCACTTTGACAACCCCCTGCCCCATAGAACATGGGTTGGTGAGGCCCTTGAGGCAAAAAAGGTTAGATACCCCAGCTAATGGGGCGCGGGTGGCGCTGTGGGTTAAACCACAGAGCCTAAGACTTGCTGATCAGAAGGTCGGCGGTTCGAATCCTCGCAATGGGGTGAGCTCCCGTTGCTTGGTCCCTGCTGCTGCCAACCTAGCAGTTCGAAAGCACGTCAAAGTGCAAGTAGATAAATAGGTACCGCTCTGGCGGGAAGATAAACGGCGTTTCCGTGCACTGCTCTGGTTCGCCAGAAGCGGCTTAGTCATGCTGGCCACATGACCCGGAAGCTGTACGCCGGCTCCCTCGGCCAATAAAGCGAGATGAGCGCCGCGACCCCAGAGTCGGCCACGACTGGACCTAATGGTCAGGGGTCCCTTTACCTTTACCCCAGCTAATGCCTCTTATTTTGCACTGTACATCACCTTGTAAGGCATTGGAGACAACTCCTAGGGGCCGAGGGGTCTTTGCCACCCCAAATAAAATATTTGAGGGTGCTACACCCCCAAGTTGATGGTCATTCAAATGGTATGTGTGCACCATGTCTTAGGTTTGATACGCAGAGTGGGGCTTATCTCCCCTCCCCCCATTTTTAATTCAAATTGGCAGCACCCTTGATGTAGATGTCAGCCTTCATCTCTGCAAGTGCATGCACCCCTTCTTTACTCATTCTGTCTCCAAGGCCTTCTTTTTTAGGGGAAGAACTGTAGCTCAGCAGCTGAGGCCTTGGCATGCAGAAGGGCCTAGTTCAATCCCCAGAAACTCCAGGTATCAAGGGAGAGACCCCAGTCTGAAATCCTGGACAGCTGCTACCAGTCTGAGCAGGCGATACTGAGCTAGGTGGCCCAACGGTCTGACTGAGTAGAAGGCAGATTCTTATGTTTCTATGTTCTTTCTCTTTCACATTCCACCCTCTGGCCCTTTCATCCCCTTGTTCTTTGGAACACTCACTCTTTCCAATCTCCTTTCTTTGACTGTTGTGTGTTTGTGTGCTGTTGACACATTTATGTTTAAAAGCTGATGCGTTCATTGAGTGCTCTTAACTTTGCGTTCTATGATAGATTAAGCAGCCATCCCCTATTAAATCTTTTCCCCATCCCATATGGCTTTATCTGCCTTTTCAGACTGGAGACCTACTTTGAAGCTGGGCGTGATAGATTGTGGCAAGATGTGCAACGAAAAAATGTGTTCAGACTTTGAAGTCACCGCATACCCAACTGTGAAGGTAATGATAATGTGAAAATTTGGATGACGTAGTTTGATGAGATCCACCTGATTTTTGTTTCGTTTTGAGGGTGGGCAGGCATTCTTCTGTTTTAAATGTAGTATAAAGGTAAAGGGACCCCTGACCATTAGGTCCAGTCGTGGCCGACTCTGAGGTTGCGGCGCTCATCTTGCTTTATTGGCCGAGGGAGCCGGCATACAGCTTCCGGGTCATGTGGCCAGCATGACTAAGCCGCTTCTGGCGAACCAGAGCAGTGCACAGAAACGCCGTTTACCTTCCCGCCGGAGCGGTACCTATTTATCTACTTGCACTTTGACATCCTTTTGAACTGCTAGGTTGGCAGGAGCAGGGACCGAGCAACAGGAGCTCACCCCATTGCGGGGATTTGAACTGCCAATCTTCTGATCAGCAAGCCCTAGGCTCTTTGGTTTAACCCACAGTGCCACCCATGTCCCTAAATGTAGTTTACAACACCATAATTACAATTCCAGTGTTACTGTACTGGCTTCCTCCTTTTTCATATCTCTCTATTTCCTTCAAAAGCTGTTGAAATCCTTATATGAGCAATAGTCTTAAATTGTAACAAAAGTTAATCACTTTGTGATTTTCATAATGTTAGCTCTGTTTCAGCCTATGGTGAAGTTCTGCCAACACTGTAAGGATGCCTTTTGATTGATTTTCTTTTTCCCCCGTTACATTTTACAAAATGCAAATGTATTCATTTATACATCCACACCTTCCTGGGTCATTCATTTATTGCAGATAACCTTCTGCTGCACTCTGAAGACCAGAGGTCTAACTTATTTACTGGCAGCAGTAGCACCGGGTCCCACTGTCCCTATGCTTTCCATATGAAAGAGAGAACAGGTAGCAGTTGATCAAGGAGGAAGTGGTGTCACTGCTCTTCTTGGGTTCCTAGGGTCCTTGACACTACCATTCCCTGACCCTGGCCCTGTACATTCCTTATGGATGCGCAACATTCACAACTGCTATGTACGTATTGCAATATGCAGCAATAACAAATAAAAAGCAATATAAGAAAAGAAGAGAGGAAGAAGATGAGGCCACCAGAGCAATCCAGTTAGTCACCACCAGAAGAATCCAGCAGCACCAAAATGTTCAAAAAGGACATCATCCTCCTTGCCAGATCTTCTAAACAGATGGGTGCAGTCCCCAACTTGCAAGCTTGTGCTTAGGCAGTATGGTGCCTACCCTACGTACTGTAGCAGACTTGAACATATGATGCCCAAAGCAAAACCTAACTCTCTGGTTTGTTTCCTTCCAGTTTTTAAAGCCATTCTCTACATATGCTGGCGATGGCATAAAGCTTGAAGGTATGTATCCTGAAATTGATTCTAAACCTCACATAATTATTTATTTGAATCTAGAGCTCTCACTGCTGAGGTGAGGGTCAGAGGTTAATTTGCTAGGCTGCGACTAGCTGGAGGGAGAACTGAGCTTCTTGCTCCCTCCTCCTCATTCTCCACCCAGATGAAACAGATGGTCATATGGAAGCCTTACAGAGCCATAGTTGTCCATGGTGGAGGGTGGTTATTCAGTGCAAATGGCTAGGACAGGCACAATATCTCTGGCCTTACCCACTTTTTCTCTTTTTGTGATGTTTCACATTTAGTGAGCAATTAAAAGAATAGCCTGCCACTCTTCTGATAATCAGCAGCTTGGAGTTCACACTCTTGTATAGGAATATATTAGCAAATTGGAAATTCATGCACACTGCACAAAAATTTATATATGTTAAGATGAGTCACGGGAATATATGTTCTGGTCCTGAAGGCAAGATGTAACTTGACTTCCTGATACGTGTTTTAGAATCAAAATAGGCACACACAACCTACAACCCAATACCCATAAAGAAGGTAAGATCAGAGTGGTTTCCAGACTATATTTTAGGGATGGTTTGTTTGTTTTTTTAAAAAAATCCAGCACTATTTTTCTCAGAGTTTCTGTTCCAAAGCAACCTTAAAACATGGCTGTGTACTCAAGCTTTTGGAAATTCTTAGTGTTTAGCTTGGGATTTTTAAAGATGGTGCTGTGCAGGGTTTGTTTTTTTACTTGGTGTGAATAGTGATTTTATTGTTTAATGGGTTTGTTTAAAAAATGTTCCTCGCCCTGAGATTTTGAGATGAAGATTAGGATATAAATATTTATAAATAAAGTTTAAAGGCCAAAGGGAAGCTCACATTCAAAATGTGTTAGAAATTGGATCTGGCTTGCAAGCAGCCTTTGCTGGCACATGGCATCTGTTTGTGAGTGGTGTTTGGGTTGGAAAATGCACAATGTCTGTCCTCAGAGTTATGATCAACCTTTTCCTCCCCTCATAGAAATTAAGGATGACCCTCAGAGCCTGAGGGAAGCCATAATCACCTTTGCAGAGAGTCATCTAACTAGTTGGTGGTCCCCTGACGCCCCACTGTTGGCTCCGCTCAGGTAACTATTTTAGACATCTTTCAATCCATTTCTTCACAAAATATGTTAAGAAGTCAGATATTTAGTGTCATCGGTCCCATGCTATGGAATACTCTTCCAGCAGAAATTGGGCAAGCATATTTACTATTGGCAGATCTTTTATGCAGACAGTTGTTTACATTTCTTGATTAGCCAATCATTGGTGATGTGTTGTGTTTTATTGAATATCTGGTACACTGCCTTGATATTTTACACAGGTTGGCAGTATATAAATGCCTTTATACATAAATTTAAAAAACACATTCTAATTTTCTAATCTCCCACAGTGTCACATGTCAATATGCCAAATCCAGTTATGTCAAGGGATCAGTGCATGATTTATGCCCAGGAATAACTGTTGAGCTTTTGGGAGGACCAGTATTTGCATGAAAAGAATGTTCATGTGGGACTTTGTCCAAATTTTGTTTAACATGCTATTCTCTTTGTTATTTTACAGTACAACAGAATTTGTTGACTCCATTCAGGGAAGGAACGTGGCCCTGATATTCGAGGGGGAGGACTCCTTTTTGGGCAGAGAGGTGAATTTTAATTGGTTGATTAAAAACAGGGTTGGACAGAGCAGATCTAGATCTGTGTGATTCACAGTAGATCAGCAAAGTTTTTGGACTCTGGGCAGTTCAACAATATCAGCAACAAGATGACCCCAAATTATACTGCTGGATGAAGAAAGATTAGGGTAACTGGGAATGAATTATGGAATTATGACCATGAGGTTTTTTAAGTTCTGATCCTCAAAATAAAAGAATTATGAGTCCAGAAATTTATCTCCAGTTGGTGGATCTCAAGGGTTTTGTGAAAAACAAAGTAAACCCCCTTATGCCTGAAGTCTGTGTACCAGGCTTGTAAATATGTTAGATTTGCATGTTGCATAACTCTGTAAATAAGTCACCAGCTAGAGACAAGTAACTTTTACTCACATTAATTGTAGGATTGTTGTAGGATTAAAATGCCTTCAGTTTCAATGAGAAGTTAAGAAACTTGCAGATTTACTTTACAAAGGCCACTTGGGTGGCATGCACACACACAAAAAGGGCAGCTGTAGATTAAGGTTCTTGCCTAAACTTCTACACATTGTAAGCAGTTAATACTTTTTATAGTTCTGTGTGGGGAAAGGTTAACTGCTCCATCTTGGGCTTTCTCTGTGAGAAAAGGGCATAGACACTGTCTTCTGCTGTTTCTGCCTTTCCACACCCTCAGCTGTTTGTAAAGGAACCATCGGAGGCATGCGCGTTACCCAGAGCGGCACCATCTTCAGGGAAGTAGGTACTAAGACTCTGTTGAGGTGCAGCAGAGATGATCTGATCACTTGGTAGACAACCATTAAGAGGAGGAAAGGTAGACGGTTTGCTTGTGAATCTAAAAGAGCAACTCCATTCGTAATGCAATGTGCACTTCTGATCTTAGGTCATATTGGACATGGCCCAGTATAAAAACATTGTTGTGAGGAGAGTCTTGAAGAGCAATGCGGAGCTAGTGACTAGATGCAAGGTCACCACCTTCCCTTCTGGCTTCCTGTATTCAAGCAAAGGCTCTTGCACACCCATCCCCCTGTGAGTTGCTGCTGGTATCCATAATCGACATACATATATGAGCTTCTTTTGCATAACAGTGTTCCTGGTGCTTGTGTATATGATTTATAAGCTACATTCCTTTAAACCCCCATTGAGCAATTACTTATGTCTTCCTATTACACAGCCTGCGATAGTATCCCTGCGAACTCTGGGAATTGTTGATTTGTGAAGAGAATAGGGGTCTCCAATGACTCTCTGCACTATTCACAAACTACAGCTCCCAGGATTCTTTTGGGGGGCAGTTTTAAATGGTATAATACTGTTTTAAATGCATAGTGCAGAAGGGGCCTGTGTGTCTTGAGTTCTAAACTAAAAGATCCTAAATTCCATCATCTGAAGGAACTCAGTGGCCACTAAAGTTCAGCCACTAAAATCAGTGATGTGCATCAGGAATTTTTTGAGGGGAAATACATGGTCCATATCATACTGCATATGCTGAATTGCATGTCAAATTGCAACCTGACAGGATCTGCTCTAGCCCTATAATTCTGCACAATTCAGTTTTTAGATAATGGGTGGTATACCTCATTCTGGGAGCAGATTTGGACTTCTTTAACACAAAATCTTTTTTGGCAGTGGCGCTGGAGATGTGCAGCTGGGTGCATAGGTGCATGTTGATGCTACACAATGGAGTGCCCTGCACTGTTTCTCTCTTGCATACCTTGAATGGGGTTGAACAGCTTTTATGACAGCTGAACTGAAGAGGCTGCATGAAATGGGTTAGGACAAGGATATCCCACATGGTGACCTGCAGTTGCATTTGGAGTCCAGCCCCCATCAGCCTCAGCCAGCATGGCACATGGCGTTGTAGCAAAGGGAGACCTCCTGCATCAGAAGGTCAGAATTGCCCGCTGTCTTAGAGTAGAGTCTCCTCTCATATTTTACTTCCATCACAGGGCAAACAATTCAAGATCCTTCTACACAGACTTCCTGCGGACACTACCTGGGGTCCAGAGAGAAATCATTTACACTTCTAAGCCACCAATAGCAGAAACAAAGGCTACCCCTGACTCCTGGGAGGTAGCAGACAGGTAAGAAGCAAGAGCCATTTTAGTAGCCTCCCCTTTCTTCTGTTCTCACTGCATTTATGTAACACTGGTCATCCTTGACACTTGGTGAGCATTCAGTAGCTGATCAGGCACAGCTTTGGGAGCAGAAGGGAAGAAGGCCTGTCTGAGCTCAACAAACCACATGGCAAGGTATTATGGATAAGGAGGGGCCAGCAGGCAAAGGGACCATCTCTATAGCTATCCATACCTATCTATATCTATAGCTATCTATATCCAGCGATATCACAATGCTCAAGGCAAGTGGTATGCTTAGCAGTGACTGAATATCAGAATTTTGATGCAAAATGAATGAGGGCACAGGATGCTCTAGATAAGCAACTTTTCACATAAAACTGTTCCTGGACTGAACCACTTTAGAGTACGTAGGAGAATGCAAGATTGAAAGCACTTTCATATAAATAATAAATAGAGAATTAGCGCTCAGGGGAGAGGGTTCTAGTCCTGCCTTCTCTTTTCTCTCCTGCAACGGGCTAACATGTGTGGCCTTGTGACACTTGGCAAAGACTGCAGATGACTCTGTAAGTCCCTGAGCAGCAACCTGAATTGTGGTCCAGGTGGTGCCAAGGTGGGCCCTGATTTGGTTCTTCAGAAGCCAGTTCCTGATTCCTGCAGGGTAGATCAGGAGTAGTATAGATTTCTAGGTAACTTCCAATAGATGGGCAAGGACTTCTGACTTGCAGCAGCAAAACCCAAATGCTCTCTTTACCATAAATGATGCTACAGAAATAGAAAAAAAGCTTAAGGAAACCAGGAATGGATTGTTCTGTGGAAGGACTGTGAACTCCATTCTGCTCTGGTTAGAGGCATACCTAGGCTCCCTTGTGCCCTTGGCAAGGAGCTGCATTGGCGCCCCATCCCCTGTCCCTTGCTAAATGAGCCAAGACAGAGTGGAGAGGTGCAATTTTTGCATCTCCCTAGGCCTGTGCCCTTAGCAGGGGCCAACCTTGTCAACCCCTAGGTACACCTCTGGCTCTGGTGCTCAAAAATCCAAATTCCAGGCCTAAAAATTCCTTAGGGTGTCTTTTGCACTAGGCTCCAGTTGGTTCATCTCTGGTAAAAACACAGATGACCCCTGAAGTCTGCCCTCTTGTGATATAGATGATATGGCTGCTTCAATGATGAGGTTATCTTCCCACCCTCTTATCTGTCACAGGACACAGCTGTGCATGGCTGACCTGGAGTATGCCGTGCTTTGCAGCCTGCACAGAATTGAAGTAAGTTTAGCCAACTTCACTGAAGAGAGGCTCTCTGCATTGAAGCACTATGTGCATATACTGGCCAAGGTAAGTTTTCTACATACGGTATATCCAGGCTTCTCTGTTGTTGGTATAGTAGCGACTCCGTTTTTGAACGTTTTGCGAGATCTTTTAATTTTCTTTTGGGCTCTCTCATGTTCAAAAGTTCTCTGTGAGCGATTACTTGGTTCTTTGGGGCAGTAAATAAAAACTATGCTTGTCACATTTTATTTTATTTTTAAGCTATGTTTTGAGGAGGAAAACAGTTCCTGAAGTAGGCTGGTGGTGGCTTTTAGACATGGTCAAGTTAAAAACTTAACTGTGTAAGATTGTTCTTTTGCATTCCTGCTGAATTTTGGCCTAGCCTTGTGATATTCCCTTAGCTAAAGGCAGATTTGCTTGAGAGGGGAAGTGGCTTTTATGTTTGAAGCTCTGCAGTGGATGGCATCAGCAAGCAAACTTTTCCTAGGGTTGCTCTACACACAATTAAAACAAGCCAGTCTCCCCGTTTCCTCTCCATCTGTTGTCCCACTCAGCCCATCCCCTGGTCAACCTGTCATTTCTTCAGTTACCTTTCCCTCTTTCTTCCCTTCTCTCTCTCTCTCTCTCTCTCTCTCTCTCTCTCTCTGTCTGTCTTTCTGTCTGCCTGTTAGCAACCACATGCAGAATATAAACGTCATAAATCTATCAGAGTTCCATCTCAGACTCTGAGCTTCCTACTTGGAAAAAAAAATCCAATTTTGAGAGTTTGTACCTGAAGTTGGATGTAAGGCTTTGAAGGAAGACATAGTGTGAATAGTAGAATGGTTCCTGCATACAATCTAGCAGTGGGGTTCCTCCCCCCTGCAAAAAAAATTAGTACTAGGAAGAGAATACAAAAGAACTATGGGAGTTTGGGCTAGACTAGAGAACAGTTTCCTGCTTGGTATGCTACTTAGACTGTTTGAAATGTGAGTCAGCATTCTAGAGGGAAGGCCTTAAACTACCTCCTCTGAAACAACGTGGTTTGATTAAAGGGAAGAGTTGTTGGGAACTTTAGAAGGGATTGTGAGCCTGTTCCTGGTTGTGGGCTGAGATCACAGAGCTGTTGACTGAGTTGCCTGAAAAAAAATCACTAGGCTAAGAAATGGATTGCTGCTCTTCAGAGAAGGCTCCGTGAGCTCCTAATCCATTTTGAGCATGCTGAGCTTGCAAATCTGAGCAAATTAACCTGCAGAGAGAAGGAGAGACAACAGAGGAAGAATAGCTCAGGTGGAGGTGTCTGTCTGCTGAACTACTGAAGAGAAAGCTGCATCGTGACACTGGAGTGGTTTTAACACTCTGTATTGTATCCTCATGCTGTGATGGCAAGCCATGTTTCAGATTGATTGATCTACTTAGAGGCTTTGAGCATCCAAGCTACTGAGCAACTGCCTGAATTACTGCAGCTGCTCACTTGCAAGAAACAGGAGCCAGAGACACCTGGAGGGAAAGAAAGGGTCCCTACTGCTGTAATGTAATTCTTCTTTGCTTAATGTGATGAATTAAACATATGGTTGATGCTATGCTTCTGGTGTGTGGGTTGCATGGCAAGGTGCCTGATTAAAAACAACAACAACAGGCGTGGTGAGAATAACCCCCTGCAATGTATGAACCCAGTCTTTGGGTAAAGCATGGAAAAGAGGACTGAATCTCTGGTTTTATTGTCTACCTTGCTTTGCCTGAGCAGACAGAGGTGCTCTTGGACCTCGTGTTGGAGATATCCAACTTTTGGTGCCAGGAGAGTCTTAACAGGAGTGAGGAAGGGCCATAGCTTAGTGCTAGAGCATCTGCTTTGCATGCAAAAGGCTCCAGGTTCAATCCCCAGCAACATTTATTTATTTAATAAATAATGGTGGGGGCATGACACTTTCAGCACCATGGACCACTGTATCATCCTGGGTTACCTCAGGTACCAGTGCCTTGTGTTTCTACCTGGAAAGTAGATTCCAAAAGGTGGTATTGGTGGAATAGTTAAATCCAAGGATTTAATCAGCTTTCTGAGAATAGCAGCTCAAGACGACTGATTGCTTAACCTTGGCTCCTTTGTAGCGGGATTCCTGGTTCATACAATGTGTCAAGCTGACATCCATTTAAAGTTAAATTGTGCCTTTGATCTCCTAGTACATACACCTACCTGGGTACAAGGGGAGTTTGGGGTTTGGAAAGAAAGAAAAACTAAGATTCTCAAGTACCTGAACTCTGTGTCCAGCCAAATTCTCCCTTGAGTGCAAGTGCTTTGGAACTTCCAATTTGCTCTCTCATGCCCCTCCCCGGTCTGCCCTAGTGGGTTGGTAGAACCCCGAGAGCACATTGTAGGGGCAGGGGGCAAAGAGAGGAAGTCAAATTATGCAGGTTGACATCCTTGCTCTTTGGGGATGACTTGGTGGTGTACAACACAGTATTTTGTTTTTACATAACCCTGCAGTATGTACACAGCGCAGTGAATAGCCGACAGAGCTACACCCACCCACCTACACAACACTTTTCATTCAGTTCCATCACAGGTAGAAGTTTACTGGGCTCCTCTTGTTAATCTTGTTTCCTATTGCTTTGTTTCAGTATTTTCCTGAGCGCTCTGCGGTCCACAACTACCTTCACAAACTGGAAGTGTGGCAGGAGTCCAACTTGTCGATAAATATTTCGCGGAATGAATGGATAGAAGATCTAAAGGCTGCAAAAGAGGTACATGAACTAAACAAGGAGATTCTTTCTAGCCAAGATGTGTCTATGGCATCTCTTCCCCCAACCCCCATTTTCCAGAATTTCTAACTGAGTAGCTTTTAAACGTTTATCTTCAGAGAACTTTCCCCACACCACCATGTGCCAAGAAACTTCTATATCTTTGCTGTGGAATGTCCTCTGCAAGGTACAGGGGTTCTTGGGGGAATGTTCAGTGGCAGCAGAAGCCTGTTTTGGACACATCTCCCATCTCAGCCAGCATAGTCAATCGTTAGGGATGATGGAAATTGTAGTTGAAGGCACCACATTGGCTTCACGTTCATGTGTGTCAGGTCCTGACCATCACTGAGACCATCACTGCCTGGACTGAGAGAAACACAGATTGTACCCAAAGAATATCTTCATAGACTTAGCTTATTCTAGTTGAGAAATATGTGGAGAGCTGTTCAATCTTCTTCTTATTTTTTTATTCAGCTTACTTATATACACAAACAAAAATAAAAACCAGAGAAAATTGTTGTGGTGCCAAAATATAAGGGATGGAAATTATATCCTGTGGGATGTGTGGGAAATTGCAGAGGCTAAAATAATTACACACAAAGTTTGATGAATGAGAGAAATAGAGAAACTAGGAGATTTTATCTGAATTAGAATGATATGCATTCTGTGCCCTGCCCCATCACATCTTCGACAGCTGCAAAAATGTGGAAATGACAAGAAAAAGAACAATAATATAAAATTAGGCAGTGAAAATAGCTACTTTCTCATACCTACTCCTGTAATTGAATTGTTGCTTTTGGTTGTGTACATAGTCTTTTCCCCTCCCACAGGTTACCTTGTAAATTAAAAAGAAGGAATATAGATACAATTTAGCTACAAATATTATAAATGAGATTTTTCACTTTAAAGAACACACACAGACACACACACACACAGAGAGAGAGAGAGAGAGAGAGCGTTTTATGCCTATGAACCACAAGTTAAGTGATCAACAGTGGCATTTATAATTTCTTTCCTTTTCGTTTTGATGCTTCAACAAGAAATGCTCAGTCAACATAATATATTGGAAGGCAGAAGAAAGGGCTAATGTTATGCATATTCTTTCCCTCTTCTTTCTATTCTCTTCAGGATATTTTTCTTTTTTGTGTCAGATTTCTTGACTCAACAATAAAAGCAAGAAAAAACAATGTGCCAAGTCACACACACACACACACACACACATACACACACACACACATACACACACACACAGAGGGAAGATGAGGAGTGATGACAAAGCTCACCCTCCACTACTATTACATTAAAAGAGCTTCCTCATGCTTTTCAGGGTCTGAATGCCAGCTTTCCAGAGACTCCAGACTGTGTGGGATGTCAAGGAAACATACCCGGGTTCGAAAGTTATTTATGCTCTCTCCAGATTATCTTCCACCTGCTGGCAGTGCAGGAAGCACTGAAAAGCGATGGGGCAAACTGTAAGCAAAGTTCCTTCTGTTTGGTTATCCGTACTGAAGCTCTAGCTAACCTCCAGGTACTGTTTGAGCTATGGCAGCAGAGAGTAGCAAACCTGCAGGCTGTAGGGCAGATCAGACTCACAGAGCCACTCCTAGTGGCCCACCAACCCTCTACTAAAATTGGGGAAGAGGAAAGCCTTCTTCTTATCTTGAAAAGGGGCCTCTGGTACTGTGCCATTGCAACAAGGGGGGAAGGGGATCTGCCAGACACATGGCCTCCCCTCAGCCGTATTATTGCTTACCCAGAGGGGGAGGAAGGAGGTGGCAGAGAGGTCAGTGTGGTGTGGGCACAGCAGAGGGAGCGTCTAATGGGCTTCTGCTGCTGCACTCCTACTGCACCAGGCTCCTGTTGCCTTGTCCCTCCAGGTAAGCTCATGGGTGAAGGGAGACCAGGTGCATGGCTCTGCCTCTTTTCCCTTCAGCCTAACAGAAATATTGTCCAGAATGGCAGGCTGGGAAAAGGTTCTGCACTCATTTCCCTTGTGCTTCCCTCAGCTACAAAAAGTAATGTTTGGCAGTGTGGTGTGGACAATGCAGAAGTGAATTGATACAGAAATGAAGTATGTAACTGCTGAAGTCAACCATTGCTGTTCAGGAGTAGAGGTGGAAACGCACTTGCCACACATCTTGTTGCTGTTCTTATCTGCGGTGGCTGCAAAGTATTTGTCCTTGAGGAAAGAAAAGAGTCTGTTTCTGAATTCACCTTGCGAGGCCTAAGATGTTTTGTATGTGTGGACAAGCCAATTTCCTCCACCACCACCTTACTGATCTGTGATTCTCATGGTGACATCCTTGCCCTTTCTCTCGGTTCTGCCTTCCCTTAGCATCATCAGAAGTCTTTCCTGCAGCAAGAGAATTCATGACGAACTTCTATTTTTACTCACCGGCTGCAAAGCGCTTTGCAAGTTTGCCAGCAGAATTCATCACCGAAGTGAAGGACCAAGAGGAGGCTATTTTTCAGCTGTGGTCAACCTTTACAGGTATGCCAGGCACCTCTGTTGTTTTCATTTCAGCAGCAGTTGATATACCTGTTGAACTCAGGCTTTGGGGTTTTCTTTTTAGTGACTGTTTACAACATTCTCCTTTGTTTATCTGTTTTAGTTGCCTCCATCTGCCTCTGTTGCTTTGTTTTTAATATAATTACATACTGGACTTATTTAATAACAAAAAAATAGTCTCTAGAGGTTGTAGCCAATGTTAATTCTACTCAGAGTAGACCCATTGAAATTAATGGACCTAAGTTAATCATGTCCTTGAATAAAGGAGGGAGAAAATAAAAGAAGGGCAAGATCTTGAGTCACAGGTTTTATTGCTGCTGTCAGCATCTGTAGCCTCTGGAGAAACTGAGATCTTGGAAAGATAAACTAGAAAGGAGACGTATAAAGAACTGCTGAAAATATGAACCTGCACCAATGCAGCTCTTCATAGAAACATAAACTTTCCATAGTTAAGATGTGTTCTAAGATATTAAATGTTCTTAACAACAGAGTCATCTTGATAATTAATCATTATTGACTCTCTGTTTGAAACAGTTACAAAATCTGACTGAAAAATGTGTATGTTTGGAGCAAAAGTCTTTGCCCATGTCTATTCTTCCTGGTTTCCTGTCTTCTCTTATAGCAACTCTTTCAGATTTTCCTTTAAGACTTTATCTCTCCTGTAATTTATTCAGGTACTTTGGCATATCATTGATGTCCTTTATGTTCGCAACAACTTGTTATGTATATATTCTTTAGATAGAAGGGTTATCCAAGAATACCCTACTTAAATTTCTCTCAGAATTTAATAGGTTTATTTTTTGCCTTGTTTTTACAGTCTAGACTAGAGTTTTGTACACACTGTACAGAACTGCACTGCAAACCAGTTAAAATCTGAGTGTTGGCAGCTATCATTCTATTTACATAATTCTCTCTCTCTTCAAAATCAGATTTCTTCAAACTTTGTAAACTATGTCTCTGACTTGTGGCCCACCAGATGTGGACTAGAACTTGCATCATCCCTGGCTATTGTCTGTGCACACCAGGGCTGATGGGAAGTGGAATCCAACAACATGTGGAGGGTCACAGGTTCCACATCCCTATTTTTTTTTAAAAAAGGAAAGCAAACTCTTACATTTGAAGAATGCCACTCATCCACATTGTACAGGGGTGTCCAAACTTTTTTCAAAGAGAGCAAGATGATGTTTCCTGCTTGGCAGGGGGTTGGACTCGAAGGCCCTTGTGGTCTCTTCCAACTCTATGATTTTATGATTCTAAGATTTGATGATGTGAACATACATGAGGGCCACCCAAAGTTGTTGAGCTTTTTTGTGGATTGATGTTGTTGTTGTTGTTGAGTTTTTTGGGATTTGACAAAGCAGCTTACACCCCCGGGCCAGACTTTAGGCATGCCTAACATAGTATTACAAACAGCAGCTGGTGTGGAAGACAATTCAGTTTCAACCAGTTTCAACTACATAAGAATGTCCTTTTGTGCTTTGTGGTGGTAATATATTGAACTTCACTTTTGCTTTACATTGCATAGGTGCTGAAAGCAAGGACGGCGAAATTCCCAGGACCCTGTGGCCACCCCAAGACTTGTGTCCATCATGCAGTGAAATTGTAAATGAGAAAATTATGTGGAAAAAGGCAGCTGTTTTGAACTTCCTTAAGAAACATTTCTCAATGGACAACATTTCCTAGGGCTTCCCAAACCAACTCCACAATGCTGCCTTCAAACCAAAACCACACAAAAACAAATTTACTCACACATTAACCATCCAAAGAAACAGGATACATATTGCTTGATTCCCTAAATAATAGAATGCCCTGACTACTGCACTTTTGGACTGCTGCTTTTACCTGAGCAAGGCAGCAAAAATAAGCAAACCTTCACAGAAGATCATCAAGAGCTGCTGAGGCTTTTGAGTTTGTGTGCAGCTACCTTGTGTGGCTGGTGAGCAACTAAACTGCATGCTGCAATATTTGCATAAGCAGTTCAGTAGCCTCAGGTTGTGAGCTCCCTGTGTCCATCTAGGACAGACCTTCACAACATGTAAGCATGTGTGTGCTTAGCCTTTGCATATCTATACAAAAGTATAAATTGTCAAGTGAGAAGTTGGCCACTTACTTCCACATGAACCTGCCCAGTGGTGAATAAAATATTCTGACGTTAATTGATGGGCATCTCTGTCATCTGAGATCCATTAGGTTCTGGTGATCAAGGAAACAGCCTTTTTAGTTATGCTGACACCACAGGCTAGAGAGAGTTCTTAAATTTTATAGTCTTTCCTTGGGAGCAGTTAGCTGGAAGCATTCTGATCACATATGGAGACATTTTATAGTCCTCCTCCAAGAATCAGAGGGCAAAATATAACAACAACAACAACAACAGCAGCAGCAGTAATAGTATTTTTTTTATTTGTATGCTGCCCATCTGACTGGGTTGCCCCAGCCACTCTGGGCGGCTCCCAACAGAATATTAAAAACACAATAAAATATCAAACATTAAAGCCTTTCTTAAACAAGGCTGCTTTCAGGTGTCTTCTAAAAGTCAGATAGTTGTTTATTTCCTTGGCATCTGATGGGGGGCTATTCTACAGGGTAGGTGCCACTACCAAGAAGGCCCTCTGCCTGGTTTTTGTATATGTAGTTTTTGTATGTATGTTATTGTGGCCAATTTGGGAGCAGGAGCAAAATGGTATTTTTGAAATATTCATTGGACAGAGAACACTGTAATTGGGGAAAAGTTGTTTTTTAAAAGAGTTGCATCCTGTCACTTTCTTGGCTCTGTTAGTTTGTTTGTTTTCCCTCTGAAAAGATCATGACCAGCCCTATAAAAATTAAGTATTATTTTACAGACCCACACACCCAACATTTTTTCTTCCATGGCTATTTTTCTATAATTTACTGAAAAGGCACTTGACAATAGAATTCATTAAAAAGAGCATCAACACATCTGCAGTATCCTTTGTGCTTTTAAATCTGAAACTAGGGTTTTGTATTCACAGCCAACCAATGACCCCTGTCTGCCAAGGGCAGTCAGCACACACTCTCCAATGAATTGTTCAGTTCCCATTATCCAAGGATTCAAGAGGCTTTTGGGGGCGGGGGGGTTAAAGACTAAAAGAGCTCAAGAAGGATCCTGATAGTTGATGTAAATAGAAAAAAAAATGTGTTTGTGTGAGTGGGATATTAGACTCCTGAGATCTGAAAAGAAGGCATGATGTCAAATATTTGAAAAGTAGACAGACTCTGTGTTCCCCTTTACAAGTAAATCTCAGCATTAGGGGAGCATTGTTAATAAGCAGGAAAGTTCATATCCTTTGGCACGGGACAAATTAGAAAGACACTCTGCTTGGAGACAAAAAAAAGCCTCTTTAATGATGATATTTCTACTACAAGCTCTGGTCAGGATAGTGTAAAAATATTCTGTGCAAAAATACTCACTGCTTCAAGAAAAAATTCCCTCTCCAAATTCTTGTTTCCATAGTAGTGCTGTATTGTATAATCAATAGCACAATAAACAAAAAATTTAAGTAGATTGATTGGGGAGGGCGTTTTAAATCCATAGTGGCAAATTTTCATAAATTGGACTTTCAGCCATTGAAACAACTACAATGGACAACTGGCCATTTTGGGCTAATATGTTTTGTATCCAACGAAATCCTACCTGCAGTGGACCCACTGAAATTAAGTCCATTAAGTTAGCCATTAATTTCTATTGAGTCTAATCTGAATAGGACCAAAGTTGGATACAACCTTAGGTGCCCTCTAGCATTTTGTTAGCCATGAAGAGAAGATTGAGATAATGTATAGATCACTATATCCTGAGAAAGGGGGCTTTTCAAAAGTCTGCTTCCATGCTGTCCCATCTCTGCAGCACTGTCATCCTTCACTCACTCTTAATGGAGAACCCAGTTCCTCAAACGTCTGTGGTTTTGGTACTGTCCTCCCCATGTTGTTGTTGTTTTAGAACTGATTTGTGGTTGCTATGCAATTGAAGCATCAGCCTGTCCAATGTAGGCTGGCCAAGTGCTGCTGATACATCTGACATTGGCATTTAAGCTGATGCCTTTCTGTATCATTGAAGCTGCCATCTTCTGGTTGTCTTGCCATCATATATTCTGCAAAGGGGTTCCTGACATAGCTTAGTGGTAGAATATCTGCGTGGTTCAATCCCTGGCATCTCTAGGTAGGACTGAGAGGTAACGCTATGTGAAATCCTGGAGAAAACCAGCAGCAGCCTGTGTAGATTATATTGAGCGAGATTGACCAATTGCCTGGCTTTGAATAAGGCATCTTCCCTTGTTGCTATATTACTCTGAAACAATGGGAATGGAGCTGTAGGGTGATTTTTAAGCAAGGAAGGAAGGAAACCAAGTAACTAGAACCAACCACTGCAATTTCTGCTAACACATAAAACCGATCTTCTATTTCACAATATCAGTTTCATATACAGTGGTACCTCGGGTTACATATGCTTCAGGTTACATACACTTCAGGTTACAGACTCCGCTAACCCAGAAACAGTGCTTCAGGTTAAGAACTTTGCTTCAGGATGAGAACAGAAATCGTGCTCCGGCGGTGCAGCGGCAGCAGGAGGCCCCATTAGCTAAAGTGGTGCTTCAGGTTAAGAACAGTTTCTATTTAAGAACGGACCTCCGGAACGAATTAAGTACTTAACCAGAGGTTCCACTGTAGTTTGAAACACACATGTGGACACCGAAACACGTTTTACCCCTCCTAATACTAAAAAAAAAGGTCTCTGCTATGTGCTAAGGACTCAGAAATCCTAACAGGTCTGAGAATGGTTTCTAGTGGTTAGGCAAGGAAGGTGCTTGGAGACCCCCTTTTCCTCTTTTTAGCAACACTCCGCAGTTTATTACATCCAGAACATAAGATCAGGTGAGATGCATTCAGCTCAAAAGAGGGCAGTGTAGCAATCATGATGTCGCATTCCTTTCCCCTTCCCCTTGATAGTCATTACAATGGCATGGGAATGAGGAAAACAATGCAGAGTCCTAATTTAGTTTGACTGACACCAGAAGCCACCTGGTCCCCGAGAAAATCTGTCTACAACCATCTTCCAAATGTCAACAGCAGCAACGACAAGTTCGCTCCTGCTGCAAAGACTACAGGAGAGCTTTGATGAAAAGACTTATTAGCATGGGATAATTGGGTTCTCCTGAAGCACAGTGAAGCAATCTATGAGTGGTTTGCAAATGCTGGCTTAAGCTTCGGATCAGAGCTAAGCAGGCAAGGGATTATATCTCTTTCCAGGTAAATCTCACACATTAATGAGCGAGCAGCTCTTGCACCATCATGACAACCGTGCCCAGTCTTAATCAAGATCCAAGCATGTACAGGAAGGAAATGGGTGTTGAGGAAGCAGAATGACATGGCCAAGGCAAAATGATGATGCTGTAGCAAGAGGGATGAGGGAGATTAAAAGGCCAGTCTATGACCATTGCACAAATTCAAGGCTATCTATCCCAAAGCTATCCCTCTTGGATGGCTATACTGGTGGAAGTGCTTCAGCTACTGATATTTCATTGCTAATTGATATTTTATTTTTTGGCTTTGCTGTCTGTAACAAATGTTAGAAAGCCACAAAATAAACCATAAAATACTTCTTCTAGTCCAGATTTGTTAGCAAACTATTTCCCATATTTAAACTAGCTCTTCCTCCCACCAGTTTAAGCCCGTATTCTTATTACATCTCAGTTACCCACTCAGAATGCAGTTAACTCTATTTGGCTTTAAAAAGTATGTATATATTTGAAAAGATCAGCCATATTTCCTGGCTACTCTAGCCTTTGCTGGTGATGCCCGGTGCTTTTAAATGTACTTTCTGTCAGCTTTCCTCCCCCTGCCACAAATTATAACACTTGTATAATAATATTCAGTACTTTTCCTAAGAACTAAATTCTTGTGACACATCAATAGTCATAAACCAGTGCTAACACTCCCTCTTACAGATGTCTTCAGGCTGCTCTATAAATTAATGGCTGTGCTAAGTTTAATTCCCCCCTCTCACATATACTACTACTTTAGTCTAGTTCTCTAATTAATGTACCCCAACAGATTCAAGGGTAAGTTAAAATGAATAGGCCTTAAGCACTGAAACCAACAGACCAGATCAAAATGAGTGAATAGAAGACCTGTGCAGTGTTCCCAATTGGAGGCAGTGAGATGAAAAGGAAAAAGAGAACCTAGGAACTGAGCAGAACATGGAAGAAAGTCGGGGCTCATTGAGGCAACTCCAATTTCAGGGATGGTCTTGCCATGGGGCTCTTTTGGGGACTCAGGTGGGCAATAAAGGAAATACCAAGTTGCACTTTAACAGGGGTTATTTACTATATACAATACAAAGCATAAAGCTTAAGTTACCACTCTGCTTTACACCACACTGTATTAATACTGACGCACCTAGGTTGATAATTTAGATTATGACTTGGCAGTGTCGGCAATGTCATTTTTGCCATTTTTCCATAAAAATAGCTCAAAAACAGCATTCTTTTTTTAGTGATTTTGCCCAAAAAGCTCAACATTTCTGTCCGGATTTTCACTGTTTGAAATATGGCAGCCCTGGATTATGAAGCTGTGTTAACAATATGACTGAAGTGAGGCAACGTGGATGCAACCAAGAGACTGGCTCAGCAGTTTGTTGTGCTAAGCCACAAATCAACCAATTTCTTAGCCGAACCAACTGTCTTTGCCCAAGAGCTCTTAGTGCAGTGAAGAGACACAAGAGTCCAAGCCTGCCCTTCCTTTCAGAGCAAGCTGCGGCTGGATTCAGAAAGGTGATAGACTATACAAGCCCCTGTCAACAACCCTCGCAGAAGCTCCCCACACTTGCCATGAACTGCTCCCTTGTAGCTTTTTAACATGTGCCCAAAGTTCCACTTCATTTCTACAAACGTGTGAAATATTAAATGCAGCTAAGAGACATACAATTTCAAATATTTGTGCAGATGTGTATATTGTTGAACATTTCTATAAAGTACAACTGTAGGGTTTTTCAAAACTATCCTGGTGTTCCGAAGGGTTTTATGAATTGCCTTCATATCTTGTGTCATATATTACCCACTGTTTGCTATACCATGCTCAAAGAATTATTTAAATTGGCTGCATATCTGTGTGTACACATTCCGCAATATTTGAAAATTATCATTTTGCATTAGTCAATAATATAGTATAAATTTGATGCTTTGTGAAAAAAGAGCACCATTCTTATATCGGTCACTGTTATGTCATGCCATGTGTATCCTCACACCAGTATAACACGCCTCCACATCTGAACATGATCATTATTAATCAGTCCACAAATAAGTTTTACAGAAAAGTGCACTATTGTGAAAATTTGAGCTCTGCACTCTGAGAGGCTCCAAAGCTTAATAATTTAAAATAAGGCAGTATAAGGAGAGGTTCCACCTTCCAGGAAAGGGTCCAACAGAGAATGATTCTGTCAACAATGAATGTTTCTTGAAGGAGAGGAATGGGAGCAAGTGATTTGGCTCGGCATCTGCAGCCCCTACCTGCGTTCAGCTCCTTTTCCCCCCATCTTTATTAAGCAGCTTCCCCCAGTCCTAAAAAGTTTTAATTTTCAAAGCAGTCCGCTTTTCCCCTTTAGTTTGCCACAGTTATCCCAAGTCGAAAGAGAAATTAGCAGAGAGCCCTAAACAAGTTGGACAGCTGTTTATTATCATCAGGACAGCATGTCTTAAAGGTGTCACTTATGATACCCGAGTAGTAGATCAGCTGTCAATAAATCCTCCAACCCAAACAAATTCACAGCTCCCTTTTGGAATTAAATCTCAATGCCAAGTCTCCCGCTGGCACCTTCCCCAGAAGGATTTAACCCTTTCTTACACAAACCCCAGACCTGTTTTTTTTATTCCCAAGCTTCTGCAAAGAATATTGGATCCCCTCTCCTCCCCTCCCTACACAGAGATCTGTTTGGGGAAAGGCTAAGAATGTTTCAAGGAGTATATAAGTAGCCCTTTCAGTCAGGATGAAACAGTCCTGATGTGCGATGCATGGCTTGCTGTCTCTTGGGCTAGCAACCAGCTTTGGTTTTTGAAATGCTGCTTCTTTAAAAAAAAAAAAATAATGAGAGAAGATCCCGGCTAGCTCGCCTGCTGCAGTTGCAGTCCAACAATGTTGAGCGTCACGGGGAGCAGCATAAATAGCAGGCATAAGTGAATGCAAGGATTGGGAGGGCACACATTTCAAACATACTTAGTGAGGTTTCTCGCTCTCTCGCTCTCTTTCACACAGTCATCCCAGATGCTCTGAGCACTGGGTTTTGCACCGTTTCCTCGTGTCTAGGAAGATCCTCTGGAGACATTTTCACCAAGCCACCCATTATTTATTTACTCCACTCACGCAAGAAGAAACTTCATCAGCTGGAATTTCACAGAAGTCAGGTTTGGATCTGGAATTTCCATTTCGGGATGGGATTTATTTATCTTTCTGGGGCAACTCCTTGAAATGTGTGTGCTGGTCACCTGAGATGAAAGATGTAGCTGAAGGTCAGGAAGGATAGTTCTTATTTCTTAATTCCTCCGAGGGCTGCATTATGCACTGGCAGTTGATATCAAAATGCAAACATGGTATGTATGTGCTTGTGTGTGCCTGTGCTTCATTTTTGACATGCTGGTGAAAATTGTGTCTTTTTCTCCTCTTCTTACCCTCAGCTCAGGAGGATCTTTTGTGTTTTCTCAGTGTTAGGAAGGTATGTTATCGTCTGGGTGTTTTTAGCCTGTTTCCAAACTGAGCACACATCAAGATGTACTTTAGAAGTAGCATCTTTGTGCCACTTCTAAACTAGGGCTGATATCTTGGGTCAAATTAGAAGTGTTATTATTATATGTGTCACTGGATTGAATGTGCAGCTTTTTCGTGTGTGTGTGTGTGTGTGTGTGTGTGTGTGTGTGTAGAAGAGGAATTTGACTCCAATGGGATATTTCACCATCAAAACAAATACCAGTTTCAGAAGAAGGATTTTCCTCAGCACTGCAGCAGGGGAGGAAACAGTTACATCCCCCTTCCATACCTGCTATGATACTGATAATAGCTCCCCAGCCAATGCTATTTGCATTTTGTCAAAGCTGCAAGTTGAATGCAAAGTGGGGCTACATTACAGGTAAAAGGCATAGGACTAGGCTGCCTGAAACCTTGGAGTAGTACTATATGCATCAAAGCAAACGGACCGTCTCAGTCTTTTTGTCTATGAAGGCATTGATCTAATTTGCCTGAAGTGCCTCACAGACCTGTTCTTTGATGAAGACTGAACTGCTTGTGTTAAAGATAGAGGAACTTTAGAAGTGTGCGGTCCCCAAGAGAGGCAAACAAGATAATTTGAATCCCTCCTTCCACATCTGTTAAGAAGCAAGCCTCAGTTTAAAATGTTACCCTTTACCAAGTCTGGACAAAAATGCCCCCTGCTGCGTCGCATTGCTTTGTAAAGTAAGGAATTGTGCTGGGTGCTGGGCGGCAGATCTGTGCTCAAGCCAGGCTGGTGACACTTTCAACACCTGCTGTCTCCAGCACAGATATTTTCCTTCCTGGCAAAAGCCTGAAAGTTCCTCAGAAATATTAACAAAATATATTAATGATGCCCCCCCTCCAAATCAGTAGAGAGTGTGGGGAGGAGCAAATTTGTCTTGGAGGTCTGTCAAAACTTCATGCATGATTCTATATTTTTGTGACCTGCTTTCAGCTTTCTCAGGAAACATTGTTAAGAAACGCAAAAACAAACATTGGGCAGTACAGACCATTTCAAAAAAATCACTTATTATTGCCTACATTTATGTGAGCTGGACCTAAATGTGAACTTGGGGTGAGTTCAAAAATTTTAAAATCCTTTCTTTCTCCAAGCAAGCTTGTCCCATTTATGTACAACCAGGATGGGGAACCTGTGTCTCTCCAGATGTGGTTGGACTCCATTGATGATGGCCAATGGTCAGGGATCATGGGAGTTGGAATCGAACAACATCTGGAGGGCCACAGGTTCTCCACCCCTGATGTACAAGATCATGGGGGGAAACATGGTTTGCACTGGTGACGTGTTCTCTCTGTGCTAAATTGCTGTGGTCGCAGTGGCTCCCCACAAAAGTCCAACTATGCGGTTGCAGAAATGACTTGGTGTCAATTGTGCATGGTATGTTTCTACTGGTAATTCCTATGTGAAAGGGCTCAATAAACATGCCTTCAGAAATCCACAATGCACAGCAGCCTCTTTCCTCTTCCTGCTCATTGCCTGTTTGCACTGGCTGAGCATCTCCTACATCAAACACCCCTCCACCCTTAAACACGCTCACATTTCGTAGGTTGACAGGATTGGGCACCAAACAGCTCATCTCTTCTCAAAAGAAGCAAGGTGCAAAGAGCTTCTCTCTGTGAGTGGTGGTGGCTGGTATAGGTGCCTTTCCCTGCTGCCTACAGATAGGGGGCAGGTGATGAGGCAGGTCATTTTTTATTTTCCTGCTCTTTCAGGTGTGACAGCCATTAATGCCGTCCCACGGCAGCCATCTGATGTTGCATCCTGCCCCACATGGCATCCATTTTTGTGTTATACCATGTCCCGCAGCATTCATTTTGTGAATCTACCTTACACCATCTCAAAATTCCAAATGTGCCCACAGAAGACCCCAGCTGTTCGGGGTGAACATGGAAATCACTTTCACTGTACAAGATCACTGGTATATTCTCATCTAACATCCTGCTCCCCACCATGCCAAACCTGATGGCCACATGGCAATGGCCCTCCCCTGTTGTTCTTCTGAGCAGCCCGTCTGATTCTGGAGGCTGACAAGACTTCTTTTCTAGCGTTTGTCACTTTGACACCCTTTTGAAACCATCACCCAACCTTGTGGCAGTAGCCAATCCCACAAATCAACTTCATACAGTCCGCAACAAATTGATGAAATTCTTTGCCACAAGGTGAGATGAGCGACTCTTGCTGAGAGGGCTTTAAGAGAAGACTGTGGAGGTTGAGTTGTAGGAAACTGGCAGTGGGAACCCCAGTTGCACACTTCTGCCAGTGCGCCATTACCAGCCAAAGCATCAGAAACTCTTGACTGGGTCCCAACCAATGTCTCCTATTTTTTTTAAAAAAGATAGAAAACAAATCAGTACACAGAGGTTTCGAAAATGTGCCTGTCTTTAAAATGATGGTTCAGCATGAGAATGTTGTGCCAAGACGAACCACTGAGTAGCAGCATGCCTATGATTGCCACCTCATCCCGAACTGATGACAAGCCTGGAAGTCAGCCTGGGCTCACTGAAAATGGAGGCTGAGTCATGTGGCCATTTCTTTAGCCACATAGAAATACAATTCATTATTGGTGATTCATTATTGAAGAGTGTGAACAGTTTACCAAAGGCTGTTGGGGTTCAATTTAGTAAAATGTATTCTTCGTCTATAGAGCCAGGGTGGTTGCTTTATGTTGTTGCTGGTTTTTTTGCAAGAGTTGCATTCATCCTTGGCCAACACTCTGGAGTCTGAATGCCAGCAGTAGGTGTGACTATCCCACATTCTTGCATGTGCACATGTATACCCATTTGACAAAAGACACGCACACACACACACGCGCGCGCGCACACACACACACACACACAAGTTCCCCCTCCTCAGCTGATCTGTGCAGATTAACAGAAGAAAGGGTTCTCACCCGCCTCATCAAATGACTGGCCTGATGACCAGTGGGTTGGTTTCCATCCCTATCGCAGTGCTGGGCTAAGCAGGAAAAAATAATAATAATCCTGGGGTGAGTGGAGAGGTTTAAATCTCTCTGCCTAGCACAGCAGTCTAATGGGGATGCAAATCATCCCCTACCAGCTCATCAGATCAACCATTTGTCGTCAGGGAAGGAGACAATAAGCCCCCTCCTCTCAACTGATGGGGACACAAATCCCCCCTCCCTGCTGATTACATTATTATTAGTAGTAAGGTAAAGGTAAAGGGACCCCTGACCATTAGGTCCAGTCGCAGACAACTCTGGGGTTGCGGCGCTCATCTCGCTTTATTGGCCGAGGAAGCTGGCGTACAGCTTCCGCGTCATGTGGCCAGCATGACTAAGCCGCTTCTGGCAAGCAAGAGCAGCGCACAGAAACACTGTTTACCTTCCCGCCAGAGCAGTACCTATTTATCTACTTGCACTTTGATGTGCTTTCGAACTGCTAGGTTGGCAGGCGCAGGGACCGAGCAACGAGAGCTCACCCCGTCGCAGGGATTCGAACCACCAACCTTTTGATCGGCAAGCCCTAGGCTCTGTGGTTTAGACCACAGCGCCACCCATGTCCCATTATTAGTAGTAGCATTACTATTATTATTAAAATTTGTATACCACTCTTCATCCAAAGATCACAACATATAAATACAATTGATGAGGGTCTGATGAGCAGAGGGTGGGTGGTTTTTATCTCCAGGAGAGCACAGTGAACCATGTTTATTATAATGTTTTCCCTCTTGCCATCACCATAAAAGTTGCTTGGGTCTTGGAGGACCAGAAACATTTGCCCGGGGGAGCCACCCCTGCTATAGGGCACCTTTGGCACCTTGGACAGTGCGCATGTCTGTACTCTGCTGGTGGCACCAAAGGCATCTAAGGTAGCAAATCTCTCGTTCTATGAAAGCAGAGAGTTGGACTAGCTGTTCAGAAAATCAGAATGAAAAGGGGGCAAATTCCTAACTAGCTAACGAAACTCAGGCTGCTTGCCAGTTTGTAACCCTGTCACTTATCCAGACTCACAGTCTAGACTACAGTTGAAACTTCCACCTTTGCAGCCCTCCTGTTCTGTGATTCTCCCTACCCTAACACTGTTTCTTCATGTCCTTTCTCTAGAATAAACCACTTGGTGTAAACTTCGGGGAAGCTGCCTCTGCTTCGGCACAAGCGATAACAGCTGAAAAATGAAGCCTGCTCTGCCCTCCTTATGGTGTCCGGAATGCCCAGCTGAGATGAACTCACTTTGCACTGCTCATGGGCTGCTGAATTAGATCATTTAAGGGGATGGAGGACACAGTCTCCTCAACAGTGAGGGTGGGCACAGATAAGGGCAACCTACTCAGAAACAACCCCAACATTTCCTACAATACAACCTGGGACGGGGCCTCCACAGAGGACTTCATAGCCACCTGCACCATCGGGACAATCCTCTCCATCATGTGCGTTATTGGAGTGACAGGCAACATCTACACCTTGGTGGTGATGTGCCACTATCTGAGATACTCTGCCTCTATGTACATCTATATCATCAACCTTGCCCTAGCAGACCTACTCTACCTTCTCACCATCCCTTTCATTGTCGGGACATATTTCACCCGGGGATGGCACTTTGGAGAAGCTGGGTGCCGGATCCTTTTCAGCTTGGATTTCCTCACCATGCACACCAGTATTTTCACCTTGATGGTGATGAGCACAGAGAGATACCTAGCAGTGCTGAAGCCCCTGGACACCGTGAAAAGGTCCAAGAGCTACCGGAAAGCCATTGCCGTCATCATCTGGGTTGTGTCTCTGCTCCTCACCCTCCCGATGCTCATCATGATCCAGCTTGTGAGAGAGGACAAGAACATCTGCCTCCCTACCTGGAGCAAATTGTCCTACAAGATCTACATCACCATCCTCTTCTGTACCAGCATTGTGGGTCCTGGGGTTGTCATCGGGTATCTTTACATCCGGCTGGCAAGGACTTACTGGGTGTCCCAAACAACTTCTTTGAAAGAGACCAAGAGGCTGCCCAACCAAAAAGTGCTGTACTTGATCTTCACTATCGTGCTGGTCTTCTGGGCCTGCTTCCTGCCTTTCTGGATATGGCACCTCCTCTCCCAATACATCGACCCCCTCCCAGTGTCTCACAACGCCACCAGGAACATCAACTACCTGACCACGTGCCTGACTTACAGCAACAGCTGCATCAACCCTTTCCTCTACACCTTGCTGACCAAAAACTACAAAGAGTACTTGAGGAACAGGCAGCGATCCTTTAACAGCAGCAGCGGCTACTTCCAGAGGAGAAGCAGGTTCCAGAGGATCTCTGGGAGATCGTGGTCCACAAGTAGCCAGCACTACACGGAGACCTTTGTGCTCCCTCCCATTCCTGGGGGAAACAGCAGTCCCTGAAGGGGGGGGGACACCTCCAAGCACTGGCTATCCTCATGGGAGCCTGGACTGAGAGGCTGCTGTGTTGTCAAATGGCAAAAGCAGAGAAGCAGGGAACCACCAAAGGTGGCATTCAACTAAAGTGTTTCATCAGCACAAGGATCACTGCTTGCACAGTAGGTCTTTCCCCCCTCTCCTCCCCCAGAGGCTTGGTGGAAACCCTAGAACAGATCTAGGGGGTGTGCATGGGGAGGAGGGAAAACACTCGCAAAAATCCTTGTGCTGACAGAAGATTCACTCTGTGCTCCGTTGGATGCAATACAAAGTATCAAATGGGTATCATAAAATAGACATGTCATGACTTAGAGTATGATCTTCTAGCAGGGGTGCCAACTTCAAAAAAATATTGGAGGGGCCCAGGTAAGCCCTGCCCCTCACAATCAATCACAAGACACAGTGTGTGTGCACCATTTGAATGGCAATGGCCATCAACTTGTGGGAGGGGCTCAAATATTTTATTGGAGGAGCCAATGGGACCTTAGCCCCTAGGAGTTGCCTCTTATGCCTCCTAGAGTTCCCAATCCACTGCTTTTTGCCTTAGATGTAACTTTGGGTGAACTCACTCAATCACAAAAAACATGTAATACACCCCAACTATCCCATGACGTTTCAACTTAAATTATTGAACCAATGTTTGTCAAAAGTTTTTTTTTTTATTACTGTTGTTTTGAAGTATATCACCCAAGCAGTTGTTTGGGGAAATAAGTGAACTCAATAAAGAACTAAGACTTCAGTTTGTGATCATGTGTGTCTTGTTGCGGTTGAGAACCAACATAGCAGTTGAGTTTGGGGGAAATGGTATTGAGTACATTGAGGCTAGTTTCAGGTTTGGATACATGATACTTCTCTTACTCTGTTTAGCTGCCCTGCTACTACCTCACCCAGACACCCAAGGAGGTTCCTCAGCTTCCATAGCTAGGCACACGAGGACAGCAGCTTGCTGAAGCTAGGCATGTCTAAGTCTGCTCAATGCCTGGATGGGAAATTGCCGAAAAACCACACATACACTGCCTTGAATTCCATGATGGGAGAAAGGCGGGAAAGAAATGCAAGTAAATAAATAGCTGGCTGGCACAATTCTTCCTCATTAAAGCCTTTTTCAACCAACCACATCTCTCTTATCATATCAAATCTAACATGACATGATGACATTATGAGAGGCATGACTTAGCGCTACCCAGGGTCAAGCCAAAACATGCCAAACAAATGCAGTTTTGTTGAGGCAGGGGCAACAATTCAGGTGCAGCTTTGCTAGCAAATTTGCAAAGCTAAGCAGGGTTGGGTAGGGTTTCAAACTGGATGGGGGACCACATGCATTGCAGTGGGTTGAACTAGATGACCCTCGGGGTACCTTCCAACTCTACAATTCTGTGATTCTATGATATGCTTGATACAGATGTTCATTGGTCAGAACAGATTATTTAAGAGTTACACAAGATCATTCCTCTCTGTATCTCAAGATCAGCTGGGTAGAAGCTGTCAGCACTAAGTATCCATGTAAACATGGTTAATCAGTCACACAAAGCCATACTTGAAGTTAAAGAATGGCAGAAACCTGGTAAAATAATTTTCTGGCCTGAAGCTACAGCTGTCAGTCACAAACTACACTGCTGCCACTGCCTCCCTGCCCCCCACACTCCTGGTATTTCTCTTTTAGCTCAGGGGGGTGGAGAATGTATGAGCTGAAAATGGTTTCTTCGCCATAACTCACTTTAAAGAACTGAAAATATGAACTGCAGCCCCAGTCGGTGAAATGTTCACTGCACAGTCACTGGAGCCTGACAAAAGAGATGCCTGCTTCCTTGGCTGCGGAGATGAATAGCTTGGATAAAGGCATTGCAAAATAATTATTGCACCTTATCAGTTGGTTATTTCTGGTAAAATGAATCTACATTCAAACATCTAAGACTGTGCCTTTACCTTCTCATGCTTTCCCCCAGAATATAAAAGGCAGGAATGTCAGCATGTCACCTCTGCTTTTCAGTTCTTTGCGGGACAGGAAGAAGGGTGCTCCGTTGTATTCACACAGTGTGTGCAGGTGAATGTATGTGTGTCTATGTGTGTCTAACCAGGAATAAGAGTGTTAGACAGCAACCCTATATACACTTCCTTGGGAGTAAGTCCCACCAAACTCAATAGGGCTTACTTCTTCTGAGTGGCCCCTTAGGTGCAGAATTGCAGTGTCGTTCACCATTTCCTTCTTGACTTCCTCTCCACACAAATTATCTCTTGCAAAAGATACCCGCCCGCCCCCCTCCCCCATGAATAAGACTGCTTTGGATGATGAGCCGCAGGGGGAACATTCCCAGCATGTTTCAAAGTCAACAAATTCAGCAAGGTTATAGTGAAAACACTAACTTGGAGAAGCATCACAACCTCCCTATTACAAGAACTCCTTATAACAGGGGATTCAAAACTGGGGTCCATGAGCTTCATTCAGAAGGGCCAATTCTGAGGAATTCAGATTGTGATACCATAAAATGCAATCTAAGGAGGGGGCAGGGGGAAGAAGCAGTGGAGATACTATTCACGTTGCATCTAACACACTGCGTTACAAATCCTGAAATGGGCAAAAGGTCATTAAGCTGTCTGCCAAGACCCTCAGCAATTTTCAAGTGGCTCATGGGGTGAAAGGTTTGGGAGCCACTATCACATTGGTTTCAGTGCACACCTCTTTCCTCTGTGATCAGGCATTTGAGTCTCACATCCTTGTCCATAGTCCTGTGGAGGAATGCCAAGGAACAGAAGTGAAGGTCAAGTTAAGAATATCCAGAATGAAGGACTGCATTTCTTATAGTGTGGGGTCTTTTTTTAAGTAAATGGGAAAAGAGATCCAAAAGAATTTTCAAACCATCTGTCTAGATGCTACATGCTCTTTAACAGCATAACATGAGTTCCTCAACGCATATTACTTAACATTGCAAACCCCATACTACTGGGTTTACTAAGCTGAAGCTCCATGTTTTAGGCCTTGAATACTGAAATAATAAGAAACTCTCCTTAAGTATTCAAAGAATATGTTTCCCACAGGTTATGTTTCCCACTAAGACCACATAACACCGGTCTTAAAAGACCTACATTGGCTCCCAGTATGTTTCCAAGCACAATTCAAAGTGTTGGTGCTGACCTTTAAAGCCCTAAACGGCCTCGGCCCACTATACGTGAAGGAGCGTCTCCACCATTGTTCAACCCAGACACTGAGGTCCAGCACCAAGGGCCTTCTGGCCGTTCCTTCACTGCGAGAAGCGAAGTTATAGGGAACCAGGCAGAGGGCCTTCTCAGTAATGGTGCCCGCCCTGTGGAACGTCCTCCCATCAGATGTCAAGGATATAAACAACTATATGACATTTAGAAGACATCTGAAGGCAGCCCTGTTTAGGGAAGTTTTTAATGACTGGTGTTTTAATGTATTTTTAATCTTTTGCTGGAAACCCAGCCAGATGGGCAGGGTAGAAATAATAATAATAATAATAATAATAATAATAATAATAATAAAATAAACCCTACCAGAACCCACACACTTGGAATTAACAGAAGGAGCAACTTCTAGGCACAGAATGCGTAGTCTCAATCAGGCTGGGGAGCTCACCTATCTCATTTAGACACTGAGTGTGCAGGCTTCAAAATGACCAAAAGGGTGGATAGCCATCTGGCTTAATCACATTACTTCCACAGTTTAGCTTCAAGTGATCTCAGCCCATATTTTCTGAGCTTTGTTTATGCCAAAATACACTGTTATGCCCTCAATTTTTTTTTGTTCAGCTTCCTGTGCCAAAGAGTTGTTGAGACCAATAAATCAAGAACAGGCAGTATTTTCCAAACCTAATTGCTACATCTAGGATTTCTTTAGAGTCACTGGTACTCTGTTCTCGAGTAAGGGATTTGTTTTGCTCCATGATTAGAACTGCAGATAGCAATGCAAAGGATGTCTAAGCCCTTACAGCAATTGCAGGCAAGAGAGGATAACAGATGAAGAATTGTTCAGTCTTAAAACTGGTCACTAGGTATTTTCACCAGGTGTTTCACTTTGTCGAATTTGGAACAATGCATTTCTGAGTTATCTCACTGCCAACAAGGAGAGAAGAACCATCCAAGTATAAGTAGGTCCATAGACTAGAAGAAATACTGTAAACGTTACGAGAGCAGCTGAGCACTATCCACTTTCTCCTCGCCTATCTCTGAAGTTCTGCTGGCTTCTGGGAATGTTTTCATTACTCCAGTTTCAGGCTGGCCTAACTGAGGCTCCTGATTGGCCCCCGCCAGGGAGCCATGGGACTTAGGATTGTAAATCTCTAGGTGTCCCATTCTGCCTAATAATAATAATAATAATAATGATAATGATAATAATAATAATACAGTGGTACCTTGGTTCTCAAACTTAATCCATTTCGGAAGTCCGTTTGACTCCTGAAACCATTCAAAAACCAAGGCACGGCTTCCAATTGGCTGCAGGAGCTTCCTGCAGTCAAGCGGAAGTCACGTCGGATGTTGGGCTTCCAAAAAATGTTCACAAACCAGAACACTTACTTTCGGGTTTGCGGCGTTCGAGTACCAAGGTGTTCAAGAACCAAGGCACAACTGTAATAATAGCCTCCCTTCACCCTAATGTCAACAATGTTACAACAATTAAAACACAACAGTAATATAAAAATGCAATACTGCACAATATTAAAAACAGTGTAAAAAAAACCTTTAAGTGCCTCATGTGGGGGGCCTTTGTAATGGCTGCTGTGGACAGAGCTGGGGCTTCTGCTACAGCAGAGGTCACAGCAGCTGCACTTCTCTCTGCCAGCTACCCTCAACCACCCCACCTTTAGCACTTTAGTTAATAGTTAAAATGCTTATTTGTAAAATACTCATCCATCTACCATGCCTCAACATGAGCGCATTTAAAAGCTATCTTTTTAAAATCGAATGATGACCTGGTTACCAAACAGTAACACTAATAAATAAGTGCCGGT